TTTGTACTGACCATAAGAATAAAAGTTAAAGTGCGGCATTGCGTAATGCGTATGCTCACCTTCATATGAGGTCAATGAATATTGTGCAAATTCCTGCCGATCGGTGCACAGTTACCTGTACCTGTGTTGTCTAACACGTACAACGGTTATTGCACTGGTCAGTGCGCGGCTGTTATACTGACGCTGATGACATCAGGACCGCACGACCAGTCAAAGTATGTAGGTACTAACTGACGATTCACAGGCTGAGAGATTCAGTCACCCGAGATTGTCCGGCTATCATGAAGATAAACCAACATCGTCTTTGGCATTGATCCCGGTCCGTCGGCAGGCTGTCCAGCATTTTGCATCAGAACTGCTTCACTTCAACCACTTACCGCGAGCCAACTGTGATGTCTTCATTTCTATATCAAGTATGCATAACACATCTACGTTTGAGAAGCACGGCCCACATGTCTGAATTATGAAAAAATTGCACAAGTGCAACGCGCTGTATCGTGGAAATTGAAGGAATAGAAGGCACTCGTAAAAAGATGCCTATGATTAGCGTTGTTCCCTAAGCACCGACTGAAAGGACATTTTGATACAAGAATGATGCCAATGAAATATTAAGAAAATGTTCTGATAAAAAGTGCACAGTAAAGGATGTCTTGTTGTCATTTCACACATTTTAACTGCCACTTTTATCACTGAAATTTTCAATAATATATATTTTCTTATCTATGTCTTCACTTCCTTCTGTGTGGTCTGATACCACTAAAAATTACCAAGTGGAATGCCCAATGTATCATATTTGATACAAAATTTATTTCCGAAATTTGAACTGCGAAAAAATATTTGACTCCAGATTTCGAACAAGGGACCCAAAATGAATCATATGTCACAAGGTGCTAATTTTAGGAACCGTGGAACTATGTGTGGGCATTAGAGGGTTAAAGAGTCACCTAACTCGCTCTGCCTTCTCGCAGCCGGGGTGTCCGGCGGGTACACGAGTCTGTATGCGTGCGAATCAGGACTAAAGGGGAGGTGCTTAACCTCGGGAGTCGTGTACATGGTAACGTGTGTCATATGTCAGGGCAGGGGACAAGCACAAGACATAACGTACATTGTATTGAAATGGGATAAACAATGGGAACTACTTTGAATTATATTCTTTTGAATATTCAATACTACTTGTCCTAAGCTCTTATCAATAACGTACATTGGTGAAACAAAACGGCCCATCAGGCTGAGATTCAATGAACATGTCCTAAGCGCTAGGAACAAAACTCCGGATACTCCAATTGGGGACCACTTTATAGCCACTCATCATGACTACGAAGTTCAACGGAGAGAAATACCATTAACTGTACAAATTCTGCAGAAGACGGGTGACCACCCACACCGAAAAATATGCGAATCCCTCCTCATTCGAAAGTATAGACCGCTACTGAACCGAAATCTATCATCCTGGTACATAATGTGAGACCGGCAGTGTGTGATAGTGTGATTGCGTTTGTGAGAAAGGTATAGAGCGCAGTGAATAGTGATGGTGGGAGAGGTAAAAAATGTGATAAAATGTGTAACTATGTATATGTAACATCCTGAATGTTTAGGCCAACACAATGACCGCCTTTACACTAGCTTATCACCTGTTGTATTGTACTCACTATATTCATATTATCTCTGTGTAGGGTCACTTAAGTGTGTCCCACATCATAGTCACGTGTAACCATAGGATGAGGAAAACTGACGAAAATGTTGTTTCTTTGGCATTCTCTTTTTACACTTTTGACTTTGCTTTTGTATATGTATATGTGATCATGGCCCGTGGCCGAAACTTCATACTAGATGCCGGCAGCGCTCGTGCGCTGCCTTGGGCCAGAATTGGAGGATCCATAGCCCAATGACTTCATTAATAGCGGCTGCGCCATGCCATCTTTCTGTTTCTAATAGCGTGTGTCTAGTTCTATCAGTGTACCGACTTTTGTGTCGCTAGATCGACGTATCCCGGGATCAGAGGATCCCTCGTCAAAACCGTTATCCGCCCCCCGCACGCGCAGCTTGCACCCCTCGGATATTATCTCGCCGGAATGTCGAGATCAAATGTATTTTTCTTATGACCTGCAAGTTTTGAACCAGTTAGAGCTGCCGTTTACCCTGCAGGCGTGGCAACGTACGAAGGGGTGCAATCGGCTTGCACGTGCATAGCTCATGCACCACAGAGTTTAGCTCAACCAAATGTGCATTATTTTGGAGGCCTTGCCTGGGACTACCATTGAACCGATTTTGAGGTTGATAGCTTAAAATTTCTTTGAGCCAGAGGACCTCACGTCAAAACAGTTTTCCGACCCCAGCACGTGCAGCCTGCACCCCTCGCAGACGGTGACCCCCCTGGAAACTGGTTCAAGGTGTTACCGATGTGTCCCGCCAGTATGGCTTTGCCCGTGACCTCGGGTTGACCTGTAGCCTTGACAAAAAATTTCGTGTCACCGAAACTTTGAAGCGGAATAGCATGTGCCACGAAGCACCGAGCGAACCGACGCCAGCACCAAAAGTTTACCTCGCCGGAGACGAATCAAACGGTCCCACTTTCGTCCCGATCGGTCCACCCATTTTGACTCCAGGTCCAAAAAAGCTTGGACAAACTCACATACTCACTGACAAACAGGTTCAGCCGAACTTTTTTTCAGCTACCCACCAATGGGAATTTCCGGATGCAAAAGCATGCTATCGCATGCTTTTGATCCTCCAATTCTGGATAAAAAATAAACGAATTAAGATGAAAGTTTCATTATCATTGTAAGGTCATTAAAGTAAAAAAAAAAAAAATAAAATAAAAAACGAACAATTGGCATTTGAATAATCCGTCTTAGAGTTACAGCCCGCCAAACTTAGCGCTGCAAAACAAGATCCAAAAAATGTTATACAGCATAACTCAAAAAATACTTTTCTGATAAGCTTGAAATTATTACAGGTGGATTCAGAGCCCCTGATTACCCCTGAGACCAATTCTCGTCAAATCCGAGAGATGAGGGTGTCAAATTGGGAAAAAAGTGGTACGATCTATCGTGGAATGCCCCACCTATCAAACACCAGCGATGCCATGCACCACACGGTATCTCGTAATATGACGTCTGCTTCAGATTGAAAAGAGGCCAGGGCCAAGACCATGAAAGCATTCCAATAAGACCAATGCAGAGCAATGCATTATGCATATGACATGATACCAACACGAAAGTAACACAGAATAAGGAACATTGACCTCACTACATAAAAAGTTTAAATGTCAGCCATAGCTACGAGTACCTAACCGATTGACGGAGGTCATTATAAACACTCTAAAACACTGAAATGTAAGTAACTTTGATACAGGGAACATAAAAATGGCATCCGTGACCCCTTTTAAGGCCCTTAGGTCATTTCAGGTCACGAATGGTATCCGAGTTTTTCGCGAATAACATTTGATAGATGCATTCTAAGGCGATGAAAACACCTTAGTTGTGATTGGCTCGACTGTACCGACCGACTGATGTGCAACTTAACCCTTACCGGTCAGGTCATGACCTTGACCTGGGGTCAAGTTTTCAAGTTGACCTTTCAGGGTCAAATGATTGTTTATTGGATGCCTCTTGACGAGAGGAACACGATGCCGGTAAAATAAAATTCGTGCAAGGTTTGAGTCAAAAGTTATTGCAGAAAATAAAATTCCGATTTTTTGTAATGTTTGCCGCCTGCAGGCAAAACCGCTAATGCTAGGTCAACTCTGAGAAAATTAGCAGAAAGAGCGTTAATATAGCTATCAAATGCGCTTTTCTGCAGCGCTGTAGCTCTATTAGTTTCCGAGCTGTGCGTCGATTTGTTGAAAATTGGCGATATTTGACCTGGCAATCGGCGAATATGGGCCTTCAATGACCTCTGGTGACTTGACCTTTGACGTGACCAAAAAAGTGACTGAAATAGTTTCTTCCTTAATTTTGACGCTCCTTCGAACACCGCCTTCCCCGTATCGCTACGTGGTCCAGGAGCTGAGTTAGAAGGAGGTGTTCACCCCCCCCCCCTCCCTCCAGCAGGGCGTGGAAATTCGGGATCACCAACGGGGCGCGGGTTAATTGAAGTGACATGATTGTAATGAGCCACTCCCTTTTTTCCATCGTTGGATGAACTGCAAAGAAACATTTTAGCGTGTAGTTTGAATTATGTGCGTGTAAACACAAAATTGTGCTTGCCGCGTTTTCCGCATCGGCCGATCCCATCTCAGCAGGCGACACCATGTTTTTTTTTTTTAACTTTTAGCAGGCTTCTAATGGCCATATTTTCTGTTTGAGTAACTAGAAATTCACTATACATACTCAGAAATGCCTGTTCTTTTGTATAGTGAAAGAAACATGCAAACCAGCTGGTTACTTATTTAGCTATTGGCGTGTAAACGCAAAATTATTTCTCATATAGCAATGGTAACCAGTAACCACATCTGACCTCATTTGACCTTTAAGATATTGTCCTAGGGTCATGAAATTCACACATAGCAGAGTTCCTTACGGCCTCCACCTACGCTCCGAATTTTGTCTTTCTAGCCTTAGTGGGAGCTGAAATATTTCGTCCCCTTCCACGGGGCTAGATGCAATCCACTGGTGGATTACTTTAAACTTGGTCAAGTTTAAAACCTTTCTGACAAACACTGCAGGCTGGACAAGATTGCAAACTTTTTTAGGCTCGGTCAGTTAACTTGACCTGGTGACCTGACCTGACATGACCTGGGGTCAAAAATTTCACACGTCCAAAATTGATGTACAGAAAGGTACTCAAAGCGGCTCGGCGCTATGCGCCGCGGTTTTTTATTCACACGCAAAAAACGCGACAGGGTGGTAACATATGCCCCGCCCCCCCCCCCCCACTGGGGCGAAGGTTAATCCCGCCGAACGGAGGGCGGATCGAGTTCTTGCTATTTACCTTGCTTAGAGCTGTTGCACAATCGCATACAATGTGCATACAGTTGACTGTTTCTCTCTGTCCACCAGGTCGTGAGAGCAGGGACGCCTTCTGTCGCGGTGACGTCATGTATACATTACTATGGTTTGAAAGTATCAAATCATAACGTGTTCAGCAATGGCAATGCCACGCGTCAAGGCCGATCTCTCCGAAGGCACCACCAGTGGCTGGGAGAGGCTGTGCGAGACGGAGGCGCGCGCGGCGGCGCTGCGCTGTGCAGAGGCGTTCCGGCGCTCCGCCACGGACCCGGCCGCCAGTGGACCGCTCTCACCCACCGACTTCTTGCACCGGTTCATCAACAGTTTTCAGCAGACGTTCGAGGATCAGATTCGCCAGTACAGCCACCTGAACGGGTACGCCACCAGCGTGGTGGCGACGGCGGCCGGCCTCGAGCCGCCGCGCCACGCTGGCCCGCCGGCCGGCCGCACTCTTCGGGAACGGTTGGGCTCTTTGAAGAGTACGCTGCGCCGGGGGCGCGCTGTGCTGCTAAGGCAGCGCTCTGACGAGTTGGATGTGTCGCCGAGCCGCCGGCGGCGCGGCCGGCTCGCCAAAATGGTGGTGGAGATCAAGCACGAGGGCACGGTGAACTACCTGACGGGCGACAACCTGGAGGCCTGGAGGCGCTGCCGTCTGGCTCTGGTGCGCACTGGCGCCGGACACCTGCTCGAGTTCTTCACGCCGCCAAAGGTGCGCCGAGCATGCTAGGCTTGCTCATCTCTTTGGCTAGCTATGGAGGTTACTAAACTAGGTGACTGTTACCGGCTGTTTGACGTCAAACAATAATGCAGCTTATGTTGCCATGATCTTTTCTGACAGGATCGGATTAGTGATCAGATCATGCTATCCCGATTTTTAGGACATTTCCATTAGGTACCAATTATGTCAAAAATGGATAAGACCAGGATTGACCGATCCGGATCGGCAGCTTTAATTTCAAATCAGTAGGTAGACATAAATTGCGTGGCTGTAGCGATTCACTTAACCCGCGCCCCAGTGGCGGTCTCAGCCAACTTCGCCCTAGTGGGGGGGGGGGGGGGGGCATATGTTACCACCCACCTCTAACTCAAAAACTAAGAGGGATAGAAAGACGCGGTAAAAAGCAGTCGATAGCTCTCAATGCGTACGTTTGAAAGTATTTCGGTCATTTTTCACCTTTGAGCAATATTGGGGTCACCAGAGGTCATCAAAGGTCAAAATTTGCCAATAGGGTTGGGACCTATCTGCATGCTCTGTATGTTTTGGTAAAATAAAAAAGCTCAGAATTTTTAATGATTTAATTTAAAATCACTTTGTTAAAAAAATGCCTAGTTAGTTCAGAAATTAATTATTTGTGGCTGAAAACAACTTGCTTCTGATTGGTCGGGCTAATCATGACGTCACATGTAGGTATATAACTGTCTGTATATTTGGCGCAGTTGAGACATACATTTTCTATGTATTTTCCTATGGTAAATCGGAGTGATTGGTCGTGTTTTCAGTGTCTCTTTATTTTGCGCTGGTATTGCGTGGCTAAGAAGTTTTATCAAGAATGGCATATACTAAAATGTTCCTTTAATAATGGAGCTTCAATATCTGTGAGTTTTATTGGCAAGCGAAAACTGATTTAGCTGTTAATTTATCTGGAAATTACTCATTTTTTAAGGTCAATATTCAAAATATTTTACCAGAACAAGTTGGCACTTTTCTTGATTTTTGCACTCAAATCGCGTGCGATTCAACTGTATTGGAACTTGCAAAGAAGCTTGGTGATTAATTAACTGTGTTGTTATGGCACTGTTTGCAAAGCATGGATAATGAAACTCTGCCAAAGACTTAGCTACATAGCAATGCCTCAAGTAATACGCAGGAGGAACAGAATTCAGAGTCCGATCGAGAAGAATCGGTGCAAATGCTACGAAGACCAGGCAGCTCTGATACAATAGCTAGTCGTCTCACTACTCTCACTCCATTAGACCAGCTGATTCCTGACAGCACCGACTCGGATGCAAAGATGGAGCTCATCTTCCAAGCCAGAAACCAGTTCTTTGATGGAAGATGTGATGCTGCCTCTGTCTCTGCTTTGTTGGCCACTTTGGACGGGGCGGAGCTCCGCTCCTTGCGTGAGCGGTTATTCGCCTGTCATCCTATGTATCCTATGTATCCTATGTACATGTTTGTATGTCCTATGTATGTTTGTTTTAAAAACGTTGCAGCGGCGCTGGGAACTGCAATCTTAGATCTGGGTATGTTTGGCATCTGCATTCTGCAACTCTTCATATACACATTAACCCTATTTCGGACGGGGAGACCTTTCAGGATTTTCTTGTACAATTGCCAAACGCCGCGAGACATTCAGCTCATATTTGGTGACTTTTCCTAAATGCTCATTGCGCACATCTCAGCAAAAAAAAAGCCGGGTCAGGTCAGGTCAGGTCAGGTAACCAGAGCGGGTTTGTTGACCCCACCTCAGAAAAGTTTGCAAACACGTCAGAGCTTGAGTTTTTCACGAAGTTATTTCCTCTCATCATGTCTTCAAAACAGTACCTGCAGTATGTGTCGTTTGTATATCTCAGAATTTTTGATCTGTGACCTGAGGTTAGGTCAGAGTCGTGACCTTTACATTGCAAGCCTATGGAAAAGTATTGAAATGCGACCTGCACCTCGAGTAAACGAGTCAAAACCACCCAATTCTTTAAGAATTATGACAAATTATCTTATCTGTTATGATCCAGGTGCCATTTACTGACAGGGACACCGGAGAGGGTTATCTGAGCCGAGATCATGTGAGGTGATATCTACCATACATCAATGCTCACAATACTTACAATATTGACAATGCTTTTGCTTACAACACTTACAATACTTACGATGAGACCAGCAAGCACTCTGCCGTTACAGTTCTAACTTCTGCTTCGAAAAACGACGTTACACACATTCGCTGCCAGCATAACATGTATTGTTTGACAGTAACAAAATACAATTGACATCTGAACCCCAAACGGACCGCCATCCACTCAAATTTTATAACCCTGACCGGTCAGGTCAGGGGGCGAATGGAGGTCATTTCCTGGGCATTACACTCAGCCCTTGCACAAAATATCTCACCTCACAGTGATCATTACAACAATAGCACCGACTTGATAGTGGATTTCAAAGTACTTGCATCAGCTCTTCCTGCTATTGCAGACGATCATCTCCTCAGGGTAATGTTGTTCGGGACATGAACGAAGATCGTTTTCGGAGTTTCATAAGTGCTACTGCAACAGCCTGGCACAAAACAGGACTTGTACGCTCTTCTCTGCACTTTGCCCTTCAGTATATCACAAAAGAATTGTTTAGAATCCATCTTACGCTTCTTTCACAGTCTCCCTTGCCACCGTAGGGCGTAGATAGATTGCTGTTGCTGGTAAGTTAAGGCACGGTAGATAGAAATTTCCTCGGTTCTCAACGCCTTAAGTTATTTTCATAAAAAAGAACAAATAAATGATCAATAAGATGACAGGAATGTAAACATTTTAATCGTAAAGTAGTCCAAATATTGGAATGAGCTTTTGCTTTTCAGCATCCTCCGATTCATCATCTTTATCATTTGAAAATTCGAGGTACATAAAATGTTTATCACGCGCTCATGTTAAGTGGGAATATAGTACACGGCAGACACATCAATTTTTGACACTGAACATTTCATCCGTAAATGTTTTAGCATAATTTAAAGTTAAAAACAGCGTGAATGGCAGAGTGAAGCAAACAACATCTTTCACCCATTGATATAACATGTAATATGTGGTGCGCCAGATGCGCCATTATTTGTCAACCGCAGAAGGTGACATGTGACGTAACAGCATCAAGAGCATCTTTTTTCAAGAACTTTTCAAAACAAGTTTCCTATCTTTCTTCCCCCATTTCTCTCAGCTCATTGATTTTATGAGGCAATGGTATGCACCATAAATTCTGTGAAAATAGTTTGATCATTTTCATGCATTCTTAAAAAATCGAGTTCCCAACCCCATTGTCACTATATTTTTCAGAAAACATGCCGCTATCTCAGGAACTATGGTAGCTAGAAAAACGCATGGAACAGCAAACGATAGCTTTTGAGCTCTTCTTTTGGAAAGGTAATATCAATATTGACCTCAGGTCAACGGTTTAGCCTCCAGAGGGCAAAAACTCCAAAAATAGCTGTTTTTACGAAAAGTGTTTTTCGACAATAACTGTTGACTACAAAAAGCCACGGCATTTCTATTGCCAGAATCGTGTTCCCCTCGCCGAGACGCGTCGAATGAACTATAATTTGACCTTGAAAGGTCAACTTGAAAATTTGACCTCAGGTCAAGGTCATGACCTGACCGGAAAAGGTCATGTTGCATATCAGTCGATGCGTCTCAACAAGACAAACACAATGAGACCATCCCCAGCGTTCTATCTCTTTCCAATCGCGAGTTATTGGCAAAAAACTGTTTGTAGCCTCAAGTGACCTCAGATGACCTGTCTAGAGGCTATCAGCAAAAATGACACCTTGGTCATCACGAGTGGACTAAATCATTGTGATTCTGAAATATTTGGACTGTTCCCATGCGTACACACGGATCTAGAGGCATTTTCATTTTTCTCCATTGCCTTATAATGGTAAGGTCACGCCACTGACCTGACCTTAGGTCACGGATATGAAAAATCCGAGATATACAAATTGTAGGCGCCCATAACATCATGCAATCCACCAAGTTTGAAACCTCTCTGACAAACACTGCAGGCTGGACATGATTGCAAACTTTTTTTTAGGCTTGGTCAGTTAACTTGACCTGGTGACCTGACCTGACATGACCTGGGGTCAAAAATTTCACACATTGTCCAAAATTGATGTACAAAAAGCTACCCCAAGCGGCGCGGCGCTACGCGCCGCGCTTTTTTATTTACACGCGAAAAACGCGACAGGGTGGTAACATATGCCCCCCCCCCCACTGGGTCGAAGGTTAAGGTCTATAGTCTGTTCCATTTAGAGGCGGATCCAGCCGATTCGTTTGGGGAGGGCAAAAGTTTCCGACCCATTTGGCGACCCCGACCCAGCGCCGCACCGGTGACCAAGCGACTTTATAGGGCCATACTACATCAGAGGCCTGTTTCACCAACGAATAAAACTTGTATTTACAAAGAAAAAGCTTGAGTTTACAAGAAATAATTACCAACATTTGAGATTTGGATTTCACGAAACCTTTGAACATGAATTTTGAGTTTAAAATTTGCAAACTTTTTTACAAGAAAAAGTTTGCTAGAAAACATGGGAATCGCAAACTTTCTGTTTCACGAAGACCAGAAACTTGAAAGAAAATATCGTAATTACAAACCTGAAATTCCAGTGGTCCTGACGCTCGGAATTTTGATACTTTTTGTGCAATAATGCAAAACAGTCATATATTTAGAACAACTATGCTTTGTTGAGTCGTTTCTTGTCCAATTTTTACTTAGCACACACCCTAAGAAGCAAAATAATCGGTATTAAAATATCGTCATGTTTTGTCATTCGCGCGCCATAATTGCATTCAACATTCTTCTGCTGTCAAATGTTTTGCGTGCTATTTTCTTTCAATAATAGAACAATGTGAACTATCATTTAAATCTTTTTTCAACAGCATCATTATTTATAATTTAATTAGGCAGCTTTTGACATGAATACTAGACTATATTTGATACAAAGAAGCAATATCTTTAAC